GAAGGGCGGCGGGAGAACAGGACGGACGGGGAGGGGACGACGAGCGCCGAGTCGCTCAGGCTGCTGGTTACCCCGTGTCTCGGGGGTTGGGTTTCTTGCACGTCTTCCTCCTTCGGCCTCCCCCGAGAAGGGAGCGCGCACCCGTCTTCAGCCCTTCTAATATCCAAAGGGCTCGGGCAGCTTGTACCTCGCCTGGAAGTCTCGGAGGAATCGCTGCCGCGCGCGCGGTTGTAGCTGGAGCCAGCTCGCAACGGGAGCCGATCCCTTTGAGCCCCGCGGGATTTTTCTGGGGCCGCGGTAGGCGGTTCAGGCCCTGGGAGACGTTTGCGTCCAGGAGGGATGAGGGAGGCTGGGAAGGAAGGTGACGGAGGCGCCTCGTTCCCACGTCTCGTGCTGGGGCGTCGCAGCGTGGCCAGCGTCGCTGGGTAGGTTCAGTCCGTTCCCCTTTTCTTTGCCACGGGGAAAGATCCCGCGTACGTTGGAAGAGGCAAAAAAGGGGATATTCAAACCCGCTTTTTGTGAAGGGCCGAGCTCTTGGCAGATTGCGAGTCTTTGGGGGCTGGCGAGCCAGAAGCGACGGTTCTCGGGAACCCCAAAAAACGGTGGTTCTCGGAAACCCCAAAGCCGATCCGTTGTGCAGGATTGCAACTGGCGATTCAGGGAGCGCGTTCATCGCTGGCTTAAATCGATTTCAGATCGTACCGCTGCCGAAAAAGGACAGGCTGAAAGGATGGTCTCAGCTTGGTGTGTAAACTCGTGCCGAAAAATTCGGAGTTTAGGAGCGCAGACCGCTCTGCGCTTCCTGAGCTGGGAGCGTCAAGGCCTCGGTTGTATCCGATGAGAGGATTCAACCCAGCGGGAGCACGACGGCTTGGACGCAGCCAGGATGCTGGCTTGGGCCACGCGTCGAACAGTTGGTGCCTGGCCGCCGTGGGTCCGACGTTTCTGGACATCCCCTGGTCTGGCTGGGGCAGGATTTTTTTTAGCTTTCTAATTAAAGCATGTTCCCAGCATGATTGTTTACAGAAGGAAAAAGGGAAGTGGTCTGAAGGTTGGGCAGAAAGTTCAGTTTTCGACTCTACCACGGAGTTAGTGACCGAAACAGGAGGAGGATCTTGTCTGAGCCAAGGATTCCTGAGACAGGTTTCCCTCTCTCTCAGAACAAACTCCAAAGCCACCTGGAGCCCCTGAAGAAGAAGCTGGACGCAGTCCTGAAGCAGAAATCGAGCGAGGAGGAGAAGATCACGGAGCTGAGGGTAAGAGCCGGACGCTCCTCCGAGCGTAGCAGGTGATCGCGTGCTTCCTTTCCCAGTTGTTTCATTTCCCACCTCTGTCTTCCACTGTCCTGCCAAAAAATAAGCAGCCCTCCAACAGGTAAGAGGATGGACCAGTCCCCAGCCTTCCCGTTAAGCCTTTCCTCCCGCTCCCCCGCTCTGCAGGACAAGATGAAGCTGGAGATCAAGGAGTTTGAGTCCGACTTTGAGCTGCTGCACCAGTTCCTCATCGGAGAGCAGGTCCTGCTCTTGCACCAGTTGGAGGAGCGCTACGAGAGCTTGCTGGCCCGCCAGAGCAGCAACATCAGCCAGCTGGAGGAGCAGAGCGCGGCCCTCGGCCGGCTCATCGCCGAGGCGGAGGACAAGAGCAAACAGGACGGGCTGCAGCTGCTCAAGGTCTTCCCCATCCCGGGGATGGGAAGAGGGACGAGGCTGGCCGGGAATCCCGGGGTGGAGGGCAGGGTCCTGCTGCTGCGATGTGGGAACTGTGCTCCCTCCCAGATGTTTTCTGAACCTTCCCAAAGGGAGCTGTAAAGTTGGATGATTCACAGAGTTGATCTCTGAACCGTGAACTCTACCCTGCTTGCAGCCTCGCTCAGCTCTGCTAGCAGCTGCAGATCTGGGGCAGATCCGGCCCGTCCTCAGGGCGAGGCGGTGCTGTTTGCGGTGGGAATAAGCGGAGCTGCAAAGAGGGGACCGGACTTGGCTTTCCCAGGAGACATCCCTCACCTGGTGGACTAGATCCTTCCCCCTCTCTCTCGGTCCTGTCAGCCGGATGGGAGCGATCGCAACGATCACGGGAACGACAGAAAACGGGGAGGGAAGGGAAGGGGACGCCCCGAGAGGTCTGGGATCCAGCACCGGTGGTAGCGGGGTGTCCTGAGAGCGGATGGAGGAGGAAAACCTCCACCAAGGGTGAATCTGAGGGATGTTCCCCCCCCACCACCACCAGTAAATCTCAGGCCCGTCGCCCGACTGTGGGACGGGGCCCATCCTGTTCGTTGGGGTGACTGGATCGTTACACTTTAACGCGGTGCTCGATCACGGCCGCTAAGAGGATTTAGTGTGAATGACAAGGGGATCAGTGTCAGTCCTCCCTAATCTTGCTTTTCTTCGTCTGTCTTCTCCCTCCCTTCTCACGCCGCTGCCTCCTTTTGCAGGACATCAAAGGTACTTTTATCAGGTCAGTGACTTTCTGTTCCCGTCTTCTCGCTGTGAATAGCTTTTGCGTTGAAAAGCCCTTTCGCTTTTGTTTTAAGCGGGCACTTCTCCAGGCTGGGATTGGGTAGCACAAGAGAAAACTCAGCTGTGGCTGCTGTCAGAGTAACGTGATGGCAGGAACTCTTGGCTGTGTGGCCTGTGGGATGTAACGGGAGTTGGGGAGCGCGTAGCGGAGGGGAGCAGAGGTCTCGGAGTCCCTCACGACACCTGGCAGCCACTTTTTGGGAGGAGAGCTGGATGCGCCCGCGCAGACCTCGTGTCCCGGGAGCTGCTCGTGAGTCTACGAGGGTCGTTTTAGTCACCTCGTAAAAGGGACAGGCAGCAACGGGAAAGCCTCCAGCTGCTCTCCGGCACTTGACGCGGTCGAGCGCGGCACGCATCTCCCCGCAGCCGGACGCCGGGAGGTTCGGCTGCCTCGCGC